AATGATTAAGTACGAAAAGACTTTCTGAGACAGATGAGGAATTCAGTTCGATTTTCACATAGCAGCACGATAAAGTTCTTCCAAAAATTAGCATTTAGCATTGCAAAAAACATTGCACGTAATGTTAGAAAAAAATTTAAGCGTTTCTGACTATGATATAGAAATCATGACCATTGAAATAAATAATAATAAAATACAATATACGATCAGTAGTGAATTATTTAAAACTACGTCTTTAACAAATAACTTGTGGTAGTTGAACGGAAAGGAGATTCTCCGATATCTTAATTATGGAAAAACTAATTAGTGGGCGATTATCAAACGACAATTTATTTTACTATCAAAATGTCTTAACTTTTTTTTAACGATCTTTAAAATTTGCGTAAACAAAGTAGATGATTTATTATTGTTATTGAGAAATAGGGGCTGCATAAATAGAACTTGTTTTTAGTTGAGTATGGAACAAAATAAATTTTTTTTAATGAACTGTTATTGCTTTTCAAAAGAAAATTGTGGATCATTCAAAAAACATAAATAAAAAAAACAATATGTTCTACATTCATTAGCTGGGAGATGTTGATGTCAAGAAACACCTCATCAACTTAAAGGTAATTATGAGTTTTAAATGTACGCAGACTGTAATATAACTTTTATTATTACATACTTTATAACTACTCTGCAGAAAGATTTTGAGACAAAGCTCTTTAAACATAAAAAAATGCCTCTTTTAATTAAATCCCTAATCTTTTAACAAATAATCACTAAATTAATCTCTTGTAATATTCTATTTTAATAATAACAACAATATATTTCAAACTTGTGAACATTTTTTGTGAATAATAAAAATCAGATTATAAACAATGTTTTATATGACACACCCAATAATTATTCAAAAAGTTGTTTTTAGGTTATGCGATCCCACGATAATAATGTTTGAGAAGAGAATGGACCTATTGCAAATAGGCTTAAAAGAAGTCTTCAAAAGGATAAATAAATATGTGGTTTTTACCGGTATATCTTTGGTGTTGCATGGATTCTTTCAAAAACAGGCTTTAATCCTCACCATCTAAATATAATAGAAACGCTTTAAGGGCGTCACTAATACATGTCATCATACCTATGTCAAAAAAATACAATAAAGTATTTTCATTTGGTGCAATGCTGTGTTTTACACAGTTAGAACAAGAAACTGGTTTATCTAGAGTCAATGAAAACACCAATTTATGTACAGAAACACAAACACAACAAAAAGAAACATGTATAACACCTGTTACTCCAGATAAAGAATTTGACCCCGGTGAAATTAATGTTTCACAAGAGATTTTGGACGAATCTCTTAGAAGCCGCAAGTCCAATAAAATATAGATTAAAAAGGAAGTTTGAATATCTGGAAGATACTACTAAAGATAAAACGCAAGTATGTTCGCTTACAAAACTTATTAATGAAAAAGTTTGCGGAAGCTGTAGCTCCTGGAAAAGAGGAAGTACTTATAGACTGTCTTAATAGTAAAAAGGTTGAAGCCTAGCTTCAACCTTTTTACTGTTAAGAAAAACTTAATCTTAGTTGAATTAGATGATGTCACTGCTTCAGATATGAATGGTTTTCAAACATTACAAAACTTGGCACAAAGATTTAATCCTAAATTCTCATAGCTCAAAACATAATTTATCGGAGCCATCTAAAAAAAATCTTCAATCCAACACAGACATATCAGAAGTGGTATGTGCAGATTGTTATGATTTGTGCAAAGTTATCGAGATGATCAAAGAACAAGCAGTTCAAAAATCTGGTGATGCTAATTCTATTTATGATTTGGAAATCGCTGTAAAGGATGTATTTAACTACATAAAACATCTAATGAGAGATTCTCAACAGAAAAAGTCAAATATCGAAGCTTTTAAGCAATTAAACAATTTAACTGCTTTCTGGCTTAAAGGTTTTTGTTAAAAAATTCTTCCGGTTAAGTACAGAGAGGGCCAAAGAGAATATTTTGGCAAGAAAGGAATGAGCTTACTTGTGGATATATTCTTCATAAAAATAGCAAAAAAGTTATTCAAGCGTGTTTACTTTACTTCAATTATAGGTGTGATCAGGGAGTAGGTGATGTTGTTTCGTTAGCCAGTTTTAGACCAATTCCGAATTAATCAACCGCATATCAAGAAGATGTTTACCCAATCTGATAATGCCGACTGCTATGAGGGAAATCTTTCAGATGAAGCAACCTACAATGTATGCAAAGAGAGATATATAAAATTGCTGAGATATGATTATAATTAACCCTGTTGTGGAAAAGATGAATGTGACATGGATAATGCAGTTGCAAAGACAATCTTAAGGAGCTACACTGGTTCTGGTAATAATCTTTTGACTGCTGAAGATATACACAAGGGTATGCATTATAGGTTTAGCGCTAAAGGTGCAAAAGTATCAGTTGCTCAAATTAGCAATGATAAAATTGTATTTACTGGACCAATTATTATGAACACTAGTAACCATCACTCATTTGAGTTTGATGAGAAAACTATAAAGATGAGGCGTTATTTTGATATTTGTGAGGGAATTGATCATGAGTACGAAAATCTTAAAATTCAACCCTCGATTAAGTTGTTGTTGCCATATAGCAAAACAGATAATTCAATCAAACGAAGCAAGTCACTAAACGAAAAACAGAAAGAAGTGGCAAGCGATGATGTTCATTAAGCTTTTTGAATTAAAAGGAATTGTACCTTATCATTTAAAAGCGATGCTGAGTTAGAAGAACACATGGTATCCGGTCTTCATAAAGTTCCGAAATCATTAGCAACATTGAATCAAGTTTGCAACTCGATTGTTGATAAGATGAAAATTAATTTATAACTAAATATGCCAATTTCTTCATTCTTTAATAATGTTTGTTTAAAAGACAAACAATATTGCATGAAATGCCCAACATTGCAAGGTTGAGCATTACCAGTTCGAAGTTCTTTTAGATTTTCAAATCAACAGAAAGCACTGTTGTATAGATACTTTATGCGTGGAGAAGAATCAGGCAATAAAATGAGCCCTGAGCAGGTTTACATGCAGCTGAGAAGGGAACTTTTGCTTAATCAATATGTAACTATGCCAACAGATAAGATCTTTATTTTAAAGGGTTTCTATTAAAACTTCTACAAATTAGATTATGTTTCTGACTGTTAAATAGTTCTTTTGCAAATATGAAATTAAAATTTTGGTGAAAACTGTAGTTTTGTGTGTTTGTTTACATATGTTTAAAAAGATGTACAATTGATATTGTTGGATTTAGTAACCTAAAAAGAAAAGGTATGCTGTTAGAACCGACAACAGAAAATGATGATAATAGTCAGATTAACGATAACAACAAGTTTATGGCAAAAGCAATAACTGTACTGGACAGGGGATAGTGAAGATTATGATAAATATTAGGAAGACATCGCCGACCTTGCAAAAGTAACTTGTCTTGTATGGAAAGTAAATGACTGGGTTGCTATTGTATATGAAAAGCAATGGAATATTGGATATAATGTGGAGGTAATATTATTCAAAGCATATATTATAACAGTGCTCTAAAATAAAAGCAATATAAATAAAATGTAAAAATAATTTGAAAAAGACAATATATTAGACTTTATAAGTTTTTCTGAATTTAAACAAAATTAAACAAATCATAAATTCTATATCATATTATTTTAAAATGTTGCGCTAATATTTTTAGGTATCCACAATTGTGCTGTGATCTGTGATCAACTGTGATCAAAGTTTATTGTATGAATAAACTTTGAGAAGAGAAGAACGCTTTTCGCTGGCCAGTTACTCCCGAGGAGATAAACTACCAAACTGAAAAAATTATCTGTTTAGTAGATGTTCCTTTTCTAATCAATGGTTGTGGCGATTATTCATTATCCGAAGAAGACTATAATACAATCATATCACTATTTTTAGAGAAACTTACTGCAGCAGAGTAAAATATTTTTGTGATGTGGTGGATAATTTGTTTCATGTGTGTAAATGACTTGATTTATGTTTCATTTAATTAGTAATATAGTTTTCTTGCTGTTCGATTTTTGTTCAGTTTTTTTAATTCATGTTATATCATGCGTGTGACAAATTCACGTGAGTTTTTTTTATTATTATGTTAGGACCATGTTCTATTGACATTTAGACACGTTTACATTTTTACAAAACTTTGTGCCTCTGCCTTGATTAGTCATTTTGTAAGTATACTATAACATTTTTTTTCAATTTTAAACCTTAATATATAAATAGGCCTTAGGTATCACATAACTTTCTTTGCATTTTTAGACTAAATACCTACAATAATTACAAGTCCTAAAAGAAAAATTGGGTACAACACTTTGCCGTTAGAAATAATTCCCTTTAAAAATTGACAAAACTAAATGTTTTTGTACTTTTGAACTATGATAATTAGCTAACCGCACAGTGTCACGTAACTTTTTTATATTTTTTAGAGAGAACTTTTGGGTTACAACTAATATTAACTACAAAAGTTATGTGCAACTTTTTGCCTTGCTAAAAAAAATGGATTCAAAGGTGGGAAAAACTAAATTTCTCAAAATTTTTCAAAAAATCTCAAAATTTTAAACCCGGATTCCGAGTGAACAAAACATTTTTGAAAACTTTTTTTTTTCCTAAACAGGTTTCTCTATATTATGATCGATATATAAAAAATTCAAGCAATTTGGAGGAGGTCACTTCCACAGTTTCAGGAATTTGCCTGATTCTTGCAAAAAACGGCTCTCAAAGTCTAAATTTTGGTATTTAAAGTATATTGGAGTGCTGATGTTTTAAAAAAAAAATTGAAAAAAAAAATTATAATTAGTATTGCTTTTTAATTTTATTGCATCAAAAAACTCTCTTAATCTTAGAATTAATTAACTCTCGGTAATCATAAATAACCTTAATACAAGTTAATTATACATAAACTTTAAGTAATAAAATACATAATTAACAAACTAATTAAAAAATTATGTAAAACGCTAGTTATATTTATATCATATATGTGTTTGTTAGAGATATAAACTTGTTTGAACAAATATCACCAAACAAGCAAATCAAAATAACAAATGCAATAAATAACAAATATTTAGTAAAAAAAAATTAAACACATTTAGTCCTGTTAGTTACAAACATCAATATCAATGAAAGTGCACGTTAAAAATATGTTTAATTATCAGCTAGCATTTTTGTATTTTGTTAACTGTATTTTAAAGTTTTGACGTTTTTAAGGTCAAAATGTTGATTTGGTAAATCCACTGGTTTCTTTAATGACAACTATGTTCTTTAATGATTTCCTCCATTTGATGATTGTATTTGCCGTAAAACTTTTGTAGACTCTAAATACCTTTTTGTTGCAAATAAATACAAAAAAAAGCATAATTCCTTTTGAAGATCGGCAGCATGTGTAAATCATAGAGAATATTGAATTAAATAATATCTCCCATTCAAATAATGGGTTTGAAATTTGAAAAAAACCAAGTGCATCTGTTACACCAAGAATTAACGCAAGTTTCATTGTAATCATAACAAGATTTACACGTGACTTTTTACCGTCACCCAAAGTTTTTTTGTTTGCACTTTCAAGCTTCGTAATACTAAATATAGTTATCACCAAGCATAACACTGATGAAGCTAAAGTAATGCCAAGCGGCAAAATATAGGAATATATTCTTGCATAAAATCCACTGATCCAGCAGATATTGTTTGCTCCATACCCAATATAAACTGCTCCAGTGAAATCTAACGCTAAATTAATAGACACAATTATGGTTGGAATCATTAAAGATATAAAAATTGTAGCGATAAAAGAGTTTGTACGACCTAATGATTTTGGAACAAATCTCCGAAACTTTAACGCTAGTTCAATCGCCATACACAGTACAAAATTGTATCCCGCCAATAAACTCCAATGTAAAACAATTGATATATATTTACATATATTTTTTTGCTTGTTTTCAAAAATTGCAAGAAATATAGAAAAATCAGAAAATATCAAAAATGTGCAAAGCGTTATTAAATTTAAGTTAGACTTTATTCTCAACTCTTTAAACAAGATGTACGTTGTAAATATAACTAGATAGCATCCCATACTAACAAAAAGTAAAATCACCGACAAAAGATTTTTGGCGTTTTCGTAAATATTTTTATTTTTAAGTTTCAACAGCAACGATGATTCACATATTCCTACACCTTTGTTTAACGGTACAAACTGGTCCGTATTAAACTGGTATTCTTTGTTTAAGTACTTGTATTTTAATGTCTGGTTTTCTATCTTATAATTGTTGGTCAGATTTCGCAATATACAATTAGATGTTAAATGGAATTGTTTGCATATGCTCATTTTTCTTTTAATTTCATTCTCATGGATTTCAATCCACAAAGCAAGGTTTTCATTTTTAATTGTTTTGTTTTCCGTAATATAATCGCATGAGCTTATAAACTCACCTTCTCTATAAGTAAACACCATTGGTTGCGCGCATAATTTGTCTTGTGTAAAGGATCTTTCTATATTAAAGTTATATAATTCTGTATTCAGCTGATTATAAACTGATGTAATAAAAAAAGTTAATGAACCAGAGGAATTTGAGTGAAAAATTGTTTTATTATTTGTCAAACTCTTCATTGCAGGAACAGATATGTTACATTGTAACAAAGTTGAGTTCGATAAATCTTCATCTTTAATAATAAAACAAACTGCGTCAGGTAAAATATTATTTATATAATTTAAAGATTGAAAATCTTTTGAAATGACATAAAATCCGGGTATTTTGCTAAATAAACAATTTTCAAAGCTTGCATTATTGATAACTATAGGAGATAATTTTTGTTGCAAGTCTATGCATTCAGAACCAACCAACGTGTATCCACAACAACATGCAATTGAAATACAGGTTTTTGTGGCATCGCTGTAAAATAATCCCTTTCCACAGTTAACTTGTAAAGGTTTTTGAAGGGATATAGTGTCATGTATTACGTTTTCACTTGGAATTCCTGGCGTGATTGTTTTTTTTGTAGGCCGAGTTGAATTTTTATTAATAATGTTATAGTCAAACATTTCTGTTGTGTAGGTAGACCATTCTGTTTTACTATTAGGAAGAAAAAGATTGTTATTGGAAGAATAATTTTGATTTGATACTATCGTATCTTTTTCAAAACATTTAAAGCAATCATAGTTTTTATAATTCAAGAAAGTTCCTGAGTACGCTTTACACAATGGGTAGTGCTTACTACTTCTTGGGCAGTGTTCGATCACGTGAGAAAAACAACTGCTAATGTTGCCATTAGTTTCTTTTTGTTTATTTAATGACACTGTGCAATTTTTATACTGTTGAAAAATCCAATTGACTTTGAATGATGTTATATTTATTTGTATCTTTTTTTGTTGAGATTTTAGCAGACACTCAAAGGTCAAATTTATGGCTTTAGGTTCAGCAAAGTTACAACGTGCACAAGCGGCGTTTCTATATACAACATTATCGGAACCTTTGACTGGAACATTGTTTGCATAATGATATTCATAACTGTTTATACACAATTTCACTAATTCTGCTTCAGCACCATCCCGGCAAGAATGCACCATTGAAATTTCACTACTTTTGTGTCCTGAATTAACGGGCACTGATAAAATTTTTTCACATACCATGTCTATATAGGTATTGGACTTATTAACTAATATTATTAGGTAAATATCCAAAGGTAATGGATTAGTGTTGTTCCATAGTTTATCGATGCAGCAAGTTTTTGATGCAAAGCAGGTATCGTCACAATTGCACAACTTTAAATCAGAGTCATGGTGATGACAAAGAAACATAGAAGTGTTAGCAACGCTAATGTTTTTCATATATTGCTGTAATGGAAAAAAACTTAATTCTTGCGCAATTGAAGCATATAAAATTGATGCATATAAAAAAATCTTAAAAGCCATTATTTATTAAATTTATGAATATATGTTTTGAATTTTTTTTTGCGTATAATATATATGAATATACATATATATATTAAATATTCTTTTGCAATTGTTGTTATATTCTGCTAGAATTGTTGTTTGGCAACCACACTATTAATAAATGTTTATTTTTTTTTGTTTCATAACCACACTATTAATAAATGCTTATTTTTATATTTATGTTTATGTTTATTTATATTTTCGAAAGTCCTTTTTTTGCATGATTAAATTAAAACATCAAAAATGTTTTCACATTTTATTAAATTACATGAAAATTCATAAATAATTTAAAAAACTTCTTTACGTTTTTTTTTTATGAAACAATGTTTTTTTTAATAAATTTTTTACTGTAACCAAACATTTATTATTCAAAACAATTTTTTTTTTTTAAAATTGTTTGAAATTCAAATGTTTAATTGTTTTAGCCCTTTGTTTTTTATTTTCTTTGATAATTTTTTTTAAAAACAATAAACTATACAACTACTCAGCGTAGTTAAGGCGATTTACATAATATTTGAATACTTTTATTTGGAATTAGCATGGTTTTATCAGCATTTTATGCCCAAACAAGATTTTTAAATGTTATAATTTTTTTTGCTTAAGGTTTTTATAATATTTAAAGAAACTTTTCTTTTTTATATATAATTTTTAAAATCTTTTTACAACCCGTAATAATCTATCTAAAGAACACTATTTTGGAGTCTTTAGATCAATTTCGCCCATCGACATTAACATGAATTTAGTTAAAATCTTTAGAAAAAGTTACTTAATTTACTACTGATTCTAGTTCAAATCGGTTCTGACGTATTTTAACTATATATAGTTGTCAAAACACAATACTTCTATCAATTTTCACAAAAAATACTGGAATTCCGACCAAGAAAGAGCTTATAATTATAAAAAATTGCCAATAAAGGATCAGAACAGATCATATTGTTAAACTATAATGTTCATTTCACCTAAAAAACGTATTAATATAAAATCTTATTTAAATTTGGACGAGCGATAGTGATTTTACGATGATTTAAAAAAAAAAAAAAAGTTTCCACGGTCTGGGTTTTTTTCGCTACAAACATTTATATTTTATGATACCGCAAAATTTATTATTTTAATTTTTTTCGTCTTTTCATAATTCACAGACCGGACCATTTCACGAAAATATGTCATAATCAACAAAATATTATACAGACGCTATAATATTTTAAAAGTGCCTTAACTACACCGAGTATGAGTAAAGTCGGGCGAAATGTGAGTCCAAATCACAACAATGCGGATAAAAAGGCGGTTGCAAAAGTATTGCAATATTTGAACGCTGTATTTCGAAAAGTGACGTGTCACAAAATTAAAATTTTACAGGAGAGTAAAAAATGTTTCTCCTGTAAAAAATTTTATCTTTATTTTATCTAAAAAATTTTTCTTTTACCTAAAAAAATCTTTATTTTATCTTTTCCTAAAAAAAATATTTTATTTAAATAACCTCACTTTTGAAAAAAGTGTGACTCGTCACGTTTTCGAAATACAGCGTTTAATTTAACTAATTTTTTTAAAATTCTAGTTAAAACCTATGTTTATCTTATTAATGAAAAATATTTAAAATAATTTTTTTTAGTTTTTCACGTAACGTTAGATTTGGCGCTGTTGCCTGTTTAGTTGATGATACTTCGTTACTTAGATTTAACTTGTTGTTAGGTGTTCATCAATTAACTCGTCTATCATTAATTGTTTAACAAAATAAAAAATTGCTCAGCTAAAAGTTTACACTATCTATGAGCTACCAATTAAAAACTGTCATACAATACTTTATTTTTATAACACTAATATATAATATGCTATTCTTATAATTATAAAATAAAACTATAAAAAACGTTTAAACAAAAAAGAGGATTAATAAAAACAGATAGAGTAGGTAGATTGGGTAGGAGAGCAGGTAGGTTGGGTAGGAGAGTAGGTAGGTTGGGTAGGAGAGCCAAGACTCAAAAAAGGCAAGGATGACTGTGAAGTGAACACAATCTTTTAAAAGAACTTTTATGTTTGCTTTGCAAATTTAATATCTAACACGATTATTTAAAGTTTATTTATAATATAATAGATAAAAGCTTTTATATGAATGTTTATCAAATTAATCAAAATAAATGTTAAGAACTCTAATTTTAGCAACCGTCGTTTAAATACACTATCTTTATAAATATAAAAAATAAAGAACAATAAAAGCAAACAGGTAAAAAACTAAGAGTTTTATGTTCATTTATAAGACCCCATCTTGAAATTGCGATACAAGCATGGTACGCTAACCTTTAAAATGATATTATTGTACTTGAAAAAGTTAAAGGCTATGCCACTCAATGGATACCCAAATTCGAAAACAAAGATATGAAACAAAATTAAAATACTTAGCTTAAGCACACTGGAAAAAAGACGTAAAAGAGGCGATTTAATTCAAATGTACAAACTACTTAAAAAAATTAATATTGTAAAACTAGATTTTTATTTTTGCCTCGTATCAGTCCAACACAAGGGGGTCATAACTTCAAAATCAGAAGAGAAATAGTTAAAAACTGCAATGTCATCAATTCTTAACTAATAGTTTCATCAATGTGGAATAAACTACCAGATTTTATCATTAAAAGTAAAAGCTTGAACTTATTCAAAACTTACATCAATAAATATCTAGAGCTATATGATTTGTAATTTATAATTTAATTTATTTCCTAGAATAACTACACAGTTTATCTGCTGTCAAAGTGAAATTAATTACTATTAATTTTACTCGTAGTTTTCGAACTACTACAGCTTTCTTTTATATTATATTATTTATAAAATAACTATTTATCTACTTTAAAACCATTAGTTTTAATAAAAAAACTTGAAGAAATTTAACGTCTCTTTATTTAAATTTATTTTTATTAGAATTTATTTGAAATTATATTTGTTATTTGAATTTATTGCCTTCTGAAAAGTGTTCAATGGATTTGTTCTACAGTATTCTATTCTATATTCAATAAAATTTTTATTTCTATTTGGCAATATATAAATATTCTATTAATTCTTTTTAAGAAAATACTTTGTTAAATAATTCGTTAACATTTTTTTATAAGTTTATTATTAAAGTTTTATACTGTTATTGTATTTAATACATAAAAATTACGTGTTAGTAAATATTGATTTCATACATGTTCATCATTTGCATGTATCACTTTAATATTTTTACATGTTTATATATATTTGTATATATATAAGTATACAGGGTTGTTTGTGTAGAAAAGGTATATTTTTAAGTTCTGTTGGTTGTCTAATAACTTTTTATTAACATTTACAAATTAAGTAGAAACTTATAGCTCTGACAATTCCATAATATTTAATAATTTGATAATAATTGATATTGAAATTATTTATGGAATTATTATAGACAAATTCATTTCATCATATCGATTATTATTATAGTTTTGATTGATTAAAATTTATGTCGGGGGCTGTGATAAATTTTTATAAATGGAAGTTCTTGATCACTTTGTGGACTCAGTTATTGCAATTAGTTTACGTTTCAAAATCAAATCAGGTAATTTTAAAAGTATATTTTTTGTTGCATTTTTTATGGGAAAAAGTGTTGTTTTTTTTTAACATATTGTCGGAATAAAATAGTTTGATGTCGCTATTTGAAAAGTAGAGATTTGTATTGTCGGCAGGCATTGAGTTTAACATTAATAATTCTTAAAATCATATAAGTAATTATGTAAATGATTTTCAATTTTTTTTTCGAATTTTTTATTTATTTCAATTATTGCGTGCTCCATTAACTGTTTTGCATTTAAAAAAATTGCTTAAAATAAAATGGTTAAAGACTTCATGATGAAATGTTGAAAATATTTTGAGAAACAAAATGTACTAATATCGGTCTATAGTTCGAGATATTTAAGTGATTATTGTTTTTGTAACTTAAGCATTTGCCTACTTTAGTACTTCAGGGAAAATCCCATCATTTATTGGTATAGATCAAAGTTTGCGAATGTTATTTTTGTTGAAAATAACTATATTGCTAAATACGTCATCGAAACGTTTAATTTTATCATTATTATTATTATCATTATTATTGTTATTATTATTATTATTGTTATTTTATTATTATTTGTAAATACAGTTTGAATTAAAGTTGCTACTGAGCAGTTTTAAGAGATTTAAAAATTTTCAAAAAATTGGAAATTTGAAATAAATTTTCGATTTCTGAAATTAACTTAGAATGGTTATGAGTTTTTTGCGCGCTGTTTAGGCCTAAACTCGCACAATAAATTCCAAATTAAATTCAAAAATATCGTCAATTTTAACGAATCTTAATAAAGAGTTATATTACAAATCATATAATTTGTAAATTAACATAAATCACACAAACCACTAAAACCACACACAAAGAGTAATATAAATGTATTTCAAATGTTAGTCTATAGGCCAACATTTAAAATACATTTATATAAATTTTTATGTGAGATTTGTAAGAAAATGAATACCAGTACTGCTAATACTGCTATTTATTAAAAAAAACTTAAGAGCTTGTTATACAGAAATTGAATCATTAGAACTTTGGAGAAAAAAATTGAAAATAGGTGAGCTGTTATAATCCTGCAGACTTGAGCAAGCTCCGTCACAGCAGAGAGTTTTTAATCACATAGTTTTGATATTCCGGCTTGGTGCTTCTTGTTCTTCGTAGCTTTTGTTTATTACTTGCAAAAACATTTTCAAAATAGAAATCCATTGTAGACCAACCATTAAAACTACACTTGTTCAAATACTCCAAAAAAAGCACGCTATTTAGTCACACAGCGAGATGAAACCTAACATTCGAGCGTCTTAGAACGTCGAAACATTCGAGCGTCTTAGAACGTCGAAACATTCGAGCGTCTTAGAACATCGAAACATTCGAGCGTCTTAGAACGTCGAAACATTCGAGCGTCTTAGAACGTCGAAACGTTCGAGCGTCTTAGAACATCGAAACATTCGAGCGTCTTAGAACGGTTTTTTGTATCTTATGTTTTTTTGTTTTTTTTTGGCGTTAATCAAATCGAAAAATACTTGCATGTCTTAGAAAACTTCAGACGAGAGAACTTAGAGAATTTTAAAATTGTTAGACGACAGTTTGC